TGCCTTAGACACAGCATTGGGATTGCCCTTGACCTTATTCCTGGCACCAGACAAGCCTTCGCCTTGTGAATTAGACACAGCCTGGGGCTGGGTAGAGCCTGTTGCATCTGCCCTGGCCTCTGCCTTAGACATAGCATTAGGATTGTCCCTGACCTTATTTTTGGTACTAGGCAAAGCCTCACCCTGAGAACTGGTAATAGCCTGGGGCTGAGCAGAGCACATTTCATCTGGCCCAGCACCTGCCTTAGACACAGCATTGGGATTGCCCCTGATCTTATTCTTGGCACCAGGCAAGGCATCACCCTGAGAACTGGCCATAGCCCAAGGTTGGGCAGAGCCCATTGCATCTGGCCCAACCACTGACTTACATACATTGGGATTGCCCTTGACCTTATTCTTAGTACCAGGCAAGGTCTCACTCTGAGAACGGGCCACAGCCTGGGGCTGAGCAGAGCCTGTTGCATCTGGCCAGGCCCCTGCCTTAGACACAGCATAGGGATTGCCTTGGACCTTTTTATGGGCACCAGATAAGGCTTCATCCTGGGTGCTGGCCATAGCCTGAGGCTGACCATAGGCCCTCAGCTCTGCCTTAATTCCTGCCCTAGATATAGCATTAGGATCTTCCCTGGCATCAACCCTGAAATCAGGCAAAGCATCAGCTTGTGCCTTGGCCCCAACCTGAGGCTGTGCACAGGTTTTCATGTCTGTCCCAACCCCTGTCCTACATTTGCCTCTGGCTTTGCCCCTAGCCCTACCTCTAGTACTAGGTAAGGCCTCAACCTGGCCCTTGGCAGAAGCCTGAGACTGTGCCTTACTATCTGTCCCAGCCCCTTCCTTAGACATGGCATTGGGATTGTCTCTGGTCTTAATCCTGGAATCAGGCAAAGCCTCAACCTGGGAACTGACCCTCAAGTTTGCCTTTTCCCCTGTTTTAGACACAGCATTGGAATTGCCTCTACTCTTAACCCAGGCATCAGGCATAGTCTCAGGCTGAGCAACAGACTTGACCTCAGCTCGAGTCATTGCACTAGATGTCATGACATTAGTATTTCCCCCGTCATCAACCTTGGCACCAGACATTGCCTCAGGCTGTTTCTTGGCCACAGTCTGAGGTTGTGTAGAAGCTCTCATATCTGCCCCCATCCCCGCCTTACACATGGTGTTGGTTTTACCCCCAGCATCAACCCTTGCCCCAGTCATGATCTCAGCTTGGGCCTTGGTTACAATCTGAGGCTGGGCAGAAGCCCTCATGTCTGCCCCAGACCCAGCCCTAGACACGGTTTTGTCATTTCCCTTGGTTTCAACCCCAGCACCAGGCATGTTGTCAACCTGGATCTTGGCCCCAGCCTGAGACGGTACAGAGGACCTCATACTCACTCCAGCTTCTGCCCTGGACATGGTTTTAAGATTTCCCTTAGCATCAACTGTGGTATCAGGCCTGGCCTCAGGCTGAGTTGTGGCCACACTCACAGTCTCTTCCAGGGTTCTTGCTTTGGTCTCAGCCATAATTCCAGTCTTGTTTATGGCACTCATCTTGGCTACTTCCCTGGTACTTGCCAAGGCCTCATTCTGTATCACCAGTACTCTGTTCATCTCTTTCTCTTTTTCAGCCAATATACAAGCTTCTACTTTTGTCTGAGTCATTGCTTCTTTCTTTGTCCCTGCCCCGGCAACCAGTCCCCAAGCTTTAGCCTTGGTCTGGGTCACTGCCTCTTTCTTGACTGCTCTCCCAGTCTCAGAGTCAGTTTGGGTCACTGCAGTTTGGGTCACTGCCTCTTTCATGGCCACCTCCTTGGCTTTGACTTTGGCCTCAAGCAGAGTCCCTGTCTCTGACCTGACCACTGTTTTGACCTCAGATTTGGCCTCTGCCTCTGCCCCAGCCATTGCTTTGGCCTGAGAGTTGGTTTGGGGTTTGGCTCTAGCAGTGGCCTTAGTCTCTACTTCAGCCCCAGCCCCACCTCCTATTCCAGTTTCTGCTCCAGTTTTGGCCTGGGGTCTAGTCGCAATCTCTGTCTCAGCCATGGCTTCACTCATGGCCAAGGCCTGGTTCTGTACCTCAGCCACAGCCTCCATCTTGACTCTAGACCCATTGCTGGCAAGTCTCCTCACACTCTGGGCTCTTCCTTTTGTTAATCTGTAAATGCAGTAGCAGGTACCAACCCAGATCATGAGTCCTGCAGTCACCCAGCCCACTTCCTGAACACGACCCATGTAACCACCTCAGCTGAAGGCACGAACAAGGTACGGGGGGGCTCAGCTGGGCTGGGGAAAGAGGGTATTAGGTCTGGATGTAAGCCTGTGAGGGTGTTGGTCTTCAGCCACTCAAAGGCCACTACAGCTGCCACTGGAAGTGGACCTAGAAGTGGAGGAAGGAAATGGACTAAAATTTCTCTTCTAATTCTGTGCATCACACAGATAGATAGACAGAAGGACAGGAAAATGTAGAAATGATGTGCTTGGTGGGAGAAGAGGATCATTAGCAAACTCTTTCTCCATCCCTTTTATTTTATCCCCTCCCCATTTTCCCCAGTATCCAACAATTTTCCCCAAGGTATCTCCATATACATTTCCTTATATAAAATAAATGTTGTAAAAGATAGTGGGAGGACTCACTAAGAGTGGGAGAGACTGAGAAGTCCTCAGAAGACCTTGATTTTTACTAGACCTACTCAGGCTACCATTCCCACAGCTCCCCACCCCAGTACCAACCTGTATTGATCCAAGGCAGTTCCCTCCTCTTTCTTTTTCTTGGTTGCTGATAGATCTATAAACTCATGAGATCTGTGGACCTAGAGACAGACAAGACAGATGGAAGGAGAGATGAAAGTAAATATTTTCTTCGTGATGTGATAGGCATATTATTAACAAACTTTTTCTTTATCCCCTTCATTTAATCCCACTCCCTGTACCCAAATATAGGTGAGGGTGTGGGGTAAGTGACAGGGATGGTGGGAAAGGTAGCTGGGAAAGGAAAAGGCTAAAGATCCTCCAGACCAGACACTGGCACTACTGGATACACACTGGCCTCCACCACCCCACCCTTGAGGTCTACCCAGGCAGTCCCCATCTTCTTACCAGTCTATATTGACCAGGGGCAATTTCCTCCTTGTATCTTTGCTTCCAGACATCTCAAGCCCTGCAACAGACCTGCAGGCATATCTATGGACAAGCAGACAAAAAAGGAGGTAATAGAGACTGAGTCCTTCATAGAACAGACAAGCACCCTGATCTCTGACCTCAGTGCCTGACTTGCCAGAGCCCAAGTCCAGTTTGCTAATGTGTCCCATCTCGTGGTCCCCCATCTCACGTCTTCTCTTTTCAGTCACACTCTAGCCCATTCTTACCCAAATATTCCTACTGCTTCCTGCACTGTAGTCAGTACGGGGTGTGGCAAAACTGTGGAAATCTGGCAGAGTGTAAGAGAGGCAGCAGTACCCTCTACTGAGATCCTCTCAAGTCTCAGCCACCTTCTGTTCACACCCTCTCTTGCCATCCCCAGGCACTGCCTACCTTCACAACAACCTCCACGGTTTCAGCCTAATCTCCCCTTTTCCCTTGCTTCCAGTGGTAAACAGCCCTACTGTAGGTGTATGAGAAGACCTAGGAACAAACAGAGAAAAGGGGGAAGGTGAATGTTGAGTGCTTGTGACATCCCAGCATCTAAGACATGGGCCCCAGTGCCTGCCTTACTTGATTTAGCGACCCATTCCCCGGCAGGTAGAACCTGGGACTTCCCCAGCACTGAAATGGGCAGGGTGAAAAAGAGAAGCAGGAAAAATAAAAGGAGAGAGACACAAGCAAACTATTTTAAAACCACCTGTAGGATTCTAGGGCTCCCCCCAAAATTCCATCATTTCCTTTGCCAAGATGCTCAGACAGGCAAGGTATCTGGAAAACTGGAGGATGGCAAGAAAGATAGAGGCTCCCAGGTCCCATACTTCTAGAATCATAGCCTACTGCCATCTACTTCCCCTTAAACCCAACTCTAGGAGCCTCCAGCAGAAGAGGCGAGGTGTAGAGGAAGGTTTTTGCTTCTGCAAAATCACTATCTCTCCACCACAAAGGCTCGCTCTCTCAAAAAAAAAAAAAAAAGAAAAAGAAAAAGATAGAAAAAAAATATTCTTTCATACAACAATTTGTATCTTCTCAATATTATCTGAAGTTCAAATAAAAGTACCCATAGAAAAGTTTGCTATCTTTATTGGACTTCCACATAAATTTTAAGCTAAAAATCCTAACCTTGGTAAGTAAACACAGTTTAGGGAATGCCCCCTAGCTAGCCCCACCCCATATTCCAACCAGATAGTGGCGCCTAAGTTCCTGTCATACAGAATTCACATAGAATTTGGGCGGTTCACAGACACCGTCCGCGCTCGCACTAACCTCCACAGATGCTGTGCAGTTTTCTCCTCTCCTTCCCTCGCCTCGCCACAAGCTGTGCCACACCAAGAGTAAAGGCACTGAACGCTTGGACCAGCACCCACGACACAGATCCCAATACTCGCCTGTCTGGATTCAGGAACCCGGTTAGCAAGCGTCTCTCCCAACATTCCAATACCCCACCCCCACCAACCCTGCCGTCCCGTCACTAAGGCCCACCATTTTATTTTCTCTGAGAACGCCACCGTGGCGTGTCCCTTCTGAAACGAGCAGGAAGCTGCGCGGACGTGTGCGGTCAGTGATTAGAGTCAGGGAGGAAGGGACATTTCAATCTCTGTATTTCCCTCTTGAGACACTTCCCCCGACCCCAAACGCCACCAGCCACCAGCCTGCAGGGGGAAAGGGGCGCAGGAGATTCAGAGCGAAGGCTCCTGGAACTTGAGCTCGCTTCGTCCCCCACTCCCGAATCCGCTAAGGGGGTCGGCGGGCGGCTGCAGCCCTGGCCTCCGCGCGGCCCCGGGCCCTTACCTGCTCCGCTTTCCCCGGGCCCGATGCCAGCCCGCTGGGCGCAGGGCAGCGGGGAGCTGGTACCCAGACAGGAGTGACGACTGCACCGAAGGCTGCGTTGCTCTGCAGCTCCCGATCACGTGAACGCCCCGCGTCACCAACCAGCTCTCCCTCCAGCTCCCAGGCTCTCGGGGAGTTCGGCCGACCCTCCCCCTACTCCGCCTGCGCGAGTTCTAGTCTCTGCGCAGGACCCCAGCGCGCACCACCCTGTCACTCAGCCCAGTCTCCTCCAATTGGAGGGCCCACAAGTGGCCTCACCACCATGCGGTTGGGCGTTGCTCTTCTCTGGTTACCAGGGAGGGTCGGCATCTCCCACCCAACCCGTCTTTGGTTCCAGCCTTTTCTGCTGTCTTTTGGAAGAATCCTCTCTTTCTATCTTAGGCTATCAGACCAATGCTTCCCATCGGATACTTTGCTATACCAAAATGGGCTTAGGAAAGGGATGTCAGGAAAGGAAGCAGAGAGTGCAAGGGAGAGCCTTAACTTTCTCTTTATGCAACTTTATTTTTCTTTTAACATTACATTCATTGTTTTTGTAAGCCGGAAATAATGCAGTCAACCCATTTTCATTTGACATTAAAAATGAGGTCATACAAATAACAAGACTCCTTTGTTTACATTATTTTTGTGCCACATTAAAAAGTGTTTTCTAGTTGCTATAAACTATTTCACAGCTTTCAAAACAGACTAGTAATTATTGATGTTTTAAATACAAAATTTTCATAAACAAACCCAGCACGTTTTCAATGTGATCTATAAAATAATCTTTGGAAAGACAGTCGGTTTTCTATTCTTGGCAATTTTCCACAAGCAATTTACAACCTTTTGAAGTTCTGGCTGAACTTATGATCTTGTGTCAGGTGTCTGAGAATTTCTTCATAGATGACTCTTGGACGATTGAAGACCCGCTCCTGATGAACCAGTGCCTGCAAACTAGTGACTTGCCAGATTAACCTGTTTTCTATTAAAGGGGGGTTTTGTTTTATTTGGATTTTACATAAGCATGTGGTCAAATCAGGCTCATTACACCCTGGAAAGGACCAACTGTTATCCCACTGATGGAAATGAGGCTTATCAGGTGGACATTTCATTTAATTATGACCCTGGTGTGATATCTCTGGTATCTGTCATTCATGCGCTGTGTCACCGTAACAGCAGCTAGTGCTCAGCATCTTCTAGTGGAGACAGTGCTGAGAGTCTGTGGGTGTCTGGAAATCACTGCAACACCCCTGAGATCCATGTCATTTTTTTCCTCACAAAAAGCAGTTTACAGGATCCCAGGAGAAAGAGGCCTTTTCATTCCCTGCTTTGTGTTACAATTTCACTGCACCACCCATACAAGCCCCTCAGAATAATCCCAGAACTCAGGGACAAAGTATGCAGAAGTTAGTCCCCAGGCATCCAGCTGTCCCTGCTGGGGTGTCATATTCTAAATATAGACCCTTCAGGCAGCCTCTTTCTTTGAATGTTGAAATGTGACACCCCAGCAGGAAGATCCTTATGTGAGAGGCCTCTGTGTGGGGGAGGCCCCTCTAGGAGGTGAGCCAACAAGCCCCGAGTACCATAGAACCTTATTAATGGATTTACAGAACTCAATTGCCCAGTAACCAACTTATGTTCTCCACCAAAGGGAAAGATTCAGAAATTGATTACACGTTTAAAACTTTAGTAAAGTAAAAAACAAAAAAAAACCCCACAAGCATAGGATGTCAAACGCCTAATTTGTAATAGTTCTAGAAACTTTTGCACATCATTAATAATAAAATAATAAACAACCCAATAAAAAATGTGCCAAAGACATTAATAGATTTGTGGACAGAAAAGAAATACAAATGACTGATAAACATGTGAAAAGATGCTCAATTTCAGAGAAATATAAGACAACCATGTTTTACTATGTTTCAGCCAAGACTTTGTCAAAATTTAGAAATTTGATGATATTGTTGACTGGTTAGTGGAAAAACGGGCATTTCCACACTTTGTTGGAGGGAGATACTCTGATGCAAACTTTTTCAGGAAGGCAATTTGGCAAAATCTATTAAATGATAAATATAACATCCCACAAATTCTTTGATCCAGCAATGCTATTCCTAGGAATTTAGCCAGCCTATATACCTATACAGTTTTACAAAGATATACGAGGTCTGCAGTTAAGTTCACGAACTCATCCTAGAAAAAGTGCTACATACCTCATTGCTGAATATCACTATGGTCACCTTCGAAGTATTCCCCTTTGGGAAGCTATGCCCCGATGCCAGTGCCTAATCCACCCTTCAAAGCAATTTGGGAACTCTTTTTTTGGAATGGCCATCAGAGCTGTCATCATATTACTGTTAATGTCCTGAATGCCATCAAAATGTCTTCCTTTCAATATTTCCTTTATCTTCGGGTAAGGAAACAAGTCATTGGGGGCCACATCAGGTGAATTAGAAGAGTGTTCCAAGGCAGGTATTTGTTGACTGGCTAAAAACTTTCTCACTGACAGTGCCCTGTGAGCTGGTACATCATTGTGATCAAGAGCCATGAATTGTTGGTGAAAAGTTAAGGTTGTCTAACTTTTTCACGCAACCTTTTCAGCACTTCCAAATAGTAAACTTGGTTAACTGTTTGTCCAGTTGGTACAAATTCATAATGAATAATCCCTTTGATATCAAAAAAGGTTAGCAATATCGTTTTGACTCTTGATTTGGACAGAACTTCTTTGGTTGTGGAAAATTGGCTGATTTCCACTGTGCACTTTGACGCTTTGTTTCAGGGTCATATTGATACACCCATGTTTCATCACCAGTGATAACATGGCCCAAAACATTGTCTTGCTTCTTATGGCGGGCCAGCCGCCACAAGTCGATCAGTACCCGAAGGGGGGAGTGGGAATGAATAAAAAGACACTCACACAAATGCTGGTCTTCAGTGATGCTGAAGCCCCGAGTTTATTTCTCATCACCAATATATGCAGTTTGAGTACGTGCAACACTGCAGGGACAAGTATGCATTACCTCATACAGAAGCAGATCATTAACTATCTACTGGAGACTTAAAGATCAGAGGGACTTTAGGGGGTCAGCTTCCCAGGACACTTTCCTCCATTAACCCAGATAACCATCTATCTATAGTATCTCCTAAGGAACTGGCCATCCTCACCACATACCTCAGCAACTTGTAAGCACCCTCCAGGTGCAGGCAGAGACAATGCCTTAGGTGCAGAAACAGGTTAAGCATTAACCGAGCCAGTCTGTAAGGCTCTGAATTACCTGTAACCATGGCTCCCCACAGCTTCTTCAAAAGGTCTTTGCAAACTTTGACTCTCCTTTGCTTTTGTTCATTGGTGAGCTCCTTTGGGACCATTTTTGCACACACTTTTCTCATGCCAAGATTTTCAGTTAAGATTTTCCTGTTTCTCTATCGATCTTTACTTGGTCTGCTATGCTTGTCGCATTCAGCTGATCATTTTGACTCACAATTTGATGGATATTTGCAATGTTTTCGTCAGTTCTGCTCGTTACTGGTTACCCTGACTTCTCTTTGTCAGTGACACGCTCTCTCCCCTCAGATAAATGTTTAATCCATTTGTACACTGCTATTTTCTTCATGGCATTATCCGCATAAACATGGACTAACATGTCTCTGATTTCGCTTTTACCCTTCCCAAGTTTAGCAAGAAATTTAATGTTTGTTTGTTGCTCTAAGTCAAGCTCAGACATTGTCGCGACAGCACACAAAACATGCAACAATAATGAATGCCACTCAGCAAGACACTGCCTCACGTTGGCATGAACACAGCTGGGAGACACTGATATACCAAGGTTATGAAACCTTACCAAGCTATTTGTATAGTGCTGCCAATGTAAGCGCATGGTGGCAAGTTCGCGAATTTAATTGTCATACCTTGTATACAGGGGGTACCAAAAAATTGTATGCACATTTTAAGAAAGGAAAAAACTGTTTAACTTGTAATACTCAATATATACTGATAATAAAAGATGAATACAAGTCACGTTTGACTTCTGCAATTACAAGAGGTGCTCAAAGTTTTTACCATCAGTGTCCAGACACTCCTGAATATGGAGAACTACTGCTTGAGCAACACTGACCAGTGTCCACTTGTATACATTTTTTGGCACCCCTGATATATACTAGGATATCTATTGCAGTGCTTGTAAATATTAAAAGAAGAAAAGAAAAACTGAAGCAGCATAAAATGTCCATCAATAAGGGAAAGATTAAATACATTATGTGAAATTTATACAATATAATTGATTAAAAATTATTTAGGGCCAGCCGAGTGGCGCATTGGTTAAGAACTGGCTTGGGATGCCAGAGGGCCCGGGTTCGGATCCCACATATGAGGGCCAGTGACACTGCCCTCCACAGCTAAGATGCTGAACAACAGCTCGACCTGGAGCTGGGCTGCCGTGGGTCACCGGTGACGGCAAAGGCTGCAGTCCCCTGCTGCAGTGGGCTTCCATAAGCTACCATGTGTAGCTGGCAGCCAGCGTGAGCCACTGTGAGCGGCCGTCCAGAAGCCGGAGACTGATCTGCCTTGCCTGGGAAGAGCGCAATGATGGTACCAACTTGGGCCAGTGAAGCAACGTCCTCTACAACTAGACTGAAGAACAAAAGGACAGCAACTTGTCTGTTCCCCTTCCTCTGATTCCCCAGTGCTGTTCCCCTCCCCCAATTCCCCAATAAAATCTTAAAAAATTTATTTAGCTCTGTGTATCTGGAAGGAAAGACACCGTGTATTTTATTATTTGCTGTTTTTATGTAACTGCAAACAAATTCCTCAAGAATGCATTCTTGACTGGCCAAGTGACTCAGTTTGTTAAGAACGTGAGCTCTGAGCAATAGGGTCGCCAGTTCAATTCCCACATGGGCCAGTGAGCTGCGCCCGAGCTGAGCTGCTGCTGAGCTGCCAACAGGTGGCAGGATAGCTCAGCTGGTGAGAGCACGTGCTCATAACAACAAGGTTGCTGGTTCAAGTCCCCCATGGGATGGTGGGCTACTCCCACATGCAACTAAGATTGAACATGGCACCTTGAGCTGAGTGGCTGTGAGCTGCCGACAGGCAGCCAGATGGTGAGTGGACTTGGAGCTGAGCTAGCTGCCCCCTCCACAACTAAGACTGAACGACAACAACTTGGCTATTCCCCTTCCCCAATTCTCCAACACTGTTCCCCTTCCCCAATACATTCCCCAATTCCT